AGAAGCTGGAGAAACACAGGTTTCTAAGCCTCAAAAACTAAAGCAAGTGACTTAAATTACTAGCATACTGAGGTCCTTACCAACAAACAACATGTGTAGCCTCTAATCCATAATCAAAACTCCCCTGTGAAGTCAGTGTGTGTGTGTGTATATTTTTCTAGCATTTCATGCACCAGTATTGTGCCAACGTGCTTACCAATCAGGGTGCTGGTGTGTCGGAAGGCTCTGACCTGGGAGTCAGAGAGGCCGGTGAGCAGAGCCAGCAGGGAGGGGAAGAGGTACTCATCATAAATGAGGCTATTCCGACACGATCTCACCAGAACCCGAACAAACTCGCACAGGCCGGCTTTGAAATGCTTCAGCTGGGGGCCTGGAGTGCACAGAGGGTAGTTCACTGAATCCTGGAAGACGTAAAGAAACAAAAGAAATGGAGGAAAGACATCACACACTGTGTGCTTTGTATAGTTCTTTGAGGCAGAAGTGGTTGCTGTTCTAATTACAATTACATCAGTGGCAAACCAAAGTGATTAACTCATTAATGTGTCCATTTATAAGCATAGATTCGAATTAGTCTGTTCCATCACGCTGTACTCCATCCTTCAGATTGTAATCTCCGAGGACATGTTGTTTGACTTTCTCAGCATCTTCAAGAAGGATTATTAGAAGTAAGAAGGGATGACAAAGACTACGAACAAGATTCAAACTTGCAGATATGTACCCATCATCTTTAAGAACCATATTTACTTTTAGGATATATTTAAACAAATCTAAACTATGTCTCACCTCATTGAACTCTTTGGTTAGTGTGCCGATGATCTCAGCATTCTGCATGCTGTCCAACATCTCTCTGCTAACCACACCTGGACAAAAGAATTTAACACCTGAACATAGTAAGTGTGATAATACATTAAATCTGCTTCTTGTATTTGACCCAAAAATGAAATGGCATCATGATTTCTGTTTCTTTTTTGCTCCACGCTCACAAAATATTGATATACTGTGATGTCAATATACAGAGGATTAACACAGCTCCTACACGTTGCATCGTTACCATACTGGGAGATCAATAGTTGACTGCTGATCATCGTCTGAGCTGAAATTGGAAGGATAATCTTTTGAACTTTGACTCCCTCCCCCTATCTCTCGGGCTCCCTCTTGACCTCTGACCTTTGCATCCACAGGACTGAACAATGAAGTTGATGAGCACCAGCAGCCCCGCCTCTCGGCTTTGCTTGTAGCTGTCCAGCCACTCGTCCACCACCGTCTTCAGATTGACAGGGAGATAGCAGCCAATGAGAATGCTGGGCTCAGACCAAAGGGTGAATGAATATAATAACTATATATGTCATTAAAATATTATGGATTTCAGCTTTCACCTTTCCTCCTACCATTGGCCTACCATAGGTTTCTCTCAGTAACATATGTGGGTCTGTATGCCCCAACAATCTCACACACTTCTATTTTCTGCTCATTTTAAATTCCAGTATTATTCGCCATCTACTTTGCATAATCCTTTCTGGCAACCATGGCACTATTGAATCTAAATGGACACTACTTTAGAACATCTGTTGTGTGATAGTGTAGCGTATATTAAGAACATAGAAAAATATAGCAGTGCACTAGAACTGAGAAACATTTGCGTAACAGATTAAAGATTAGTTAACTGCAGTTTTGCTGAATGTGCTGAATGAAAGTGAGCCTTCACCCGGAATCACCATCTGCATTGTGCTGCTGCTCTTCACTGTAGTGGCAGACTTTTTTTTATTACTGCTCACCAGACTTTTTTTTGGTCTTTCTATTGTTATGTGATGCATTTTTTGTAGTCTTTAACCAGAAGAGACTGGGCACAGCACCACAAAGGTTTGTATGGCCACATGCTGTCAATCATTGACTACACAACCCAGTGAAAACACTTCTTCCTCTTCGCGTATCAAAGCCGATTCTGTCGGGTCAAATCAGTCAGCCACTGACAGCAGAGGATAATCTCTCTCATTGTTGCTCATAGAGCCTTGTTTCTCTTCTCATTACACATTCCTCCTACAGCACCTCCCTCCCTTCATGTGTTTATCTCTACCTCCCCTTCCCCCTTTGCTCTTCAGCTGACGGTTTGCTCACCACCATGGCACTCTTTCCAGAGCGGACAGCATCATAGATATTCTCTGCACTGATGCCCCGGTTGTCCTCGTTCACTCTTGTCACAGGTCGAGGAGAGGGCTGCTGGGAGGGGTCTGGAGAAGTGGGGATGGGGCTGCTACTGGGGCTGGACACCCTCAATGCAGCTTTATGCCTAGGTCTCTTGGGTGGCTTGAGATGAAAGAGATGGGAGGATAGCTCAGCAGTGGAGAAAGGGAATTGATGTTGTCAACTGAATTAGTGGTAGCCATGGCAAGATACGGTGGAGGCTTACCAAGGTGTTGCAGTTAATATGACTCTGATGAAGCTTTTTTTGATCTTTTATAAGAACTAAGAGATGAACGCTACTGGAGTCCACCCTGAACTATACTCCATTCTGAATAATCACAATGAAATATATCTGAATGAGTGAACCATCTTGAGAGAGAATAAGATAATTTACCTGAGGTCCAGTTACTGCCTGTTTTCTCCGCTTTGAGACTTTCAGCGTGGCCGCATAGTCACTATCAGAATCTGAGAAGTCATCAAACTCCTCAACACTAACAGACAAGTAAAAAAAAAAATGAATCAAGACAAATCTCAGCATTAACAAATATGTTTTGGTCAAGCTAACAAGACTACAGAGCCAGACAGATGATATGATACAAACGTTGATAATTTGTACCCCTCAAGTTATTGTAACATTCTGTTGTTGTGGCCAACAGTCGGGTCAGTTAGGTAGAATCTCCCAATGTCCCTCAAACTATTATCAATATTGGGTTTATTCTATTTGTCCTCGTCTCTTCAACTATCTTTTTTATACAGTTTTGACTGTATGTTGGATTCTGTTTCAGCACACTTTACCAGCTAGTTATAACTGCTACAGATGCCTTTAAATCAGGACTGAGATATGTGGATATATACTGTTTGAGTTTGAGAAATGGAACATTGTGTTATCTTTGACAGCTATTTATTCATCGTTTATGCTGTTTATTTACATGCATCTTAAATTATCTGAATATGTGTTCCTGATAAATGCTCCATAATACAATATGTTCAACAATAAGTTATACTTTGTGACAAGTCTTAAGAGTTATGTTTACCTTAGCCAAAACAAATGTACCTGCACAAGTAAGAACAAATGCTAGGCTAGGCTAACCTTACCTGTCCGAAAGGTAGTCTCCACTTGCCATTTTCATTGAAAGAGGACACGGATTATAAAGGTGGTTTTGGTCTGCAGGTTAGCTGGTCTTTGCTAGGACGCTACTATGTGGGAGAGGAGACACAATTAGCCACAATACCTAATTTAGCCCTTGAGATAAACTCCTAGCATTAGCTAACGTTAGCTAGCTACTTGCGTAGCCTCCATTACAGTATTTCAAATGTCCGTTAACGGACTTAAAATAGTAGCCAGCTATCTACTACAGCGAAAATTACCCGATAATCATCATTAGCAAAGCATTTACATACTTTTACTACCTGATAATATAATAACCGATCACTTTGTCCCTTTCTTAAAAGGCTTATCGTAATTTATTCCTCCGTCTTCACGGCCTGATGAGATTCAAGGGCGCGCAAACGTACACAATATGATACTCGATGCCCATTGGCCAGAACCTTCTCAGATCAGACGATGATTGGTCCTTCGAGAAGGTCACGTGATGATCATTGGTTATTCACACAACAAGTAGTTCCGCTACACCAGACAGAAAAAACGGAGTAAATCAAACACGTCCATTAACCACAGTGTATTTTTAAACAATACAATCTATTAAAATTATGAATTTAACTATTGCTGAAAATAAGGGTATAAATACTTGTTACATATCTGCAGGTGACTTTCTTTACCCTCTTTATTGGTATGTTTTCTATAAGTTTCTACATTTACTGTCATATGGTATTGTATCTATGTTCAATCTGTCTGTCTGGTCTGCCTGTCTGTATTTAGGACCCTGAGGTGGTTGGCTCAGCTGCTCCCGGCCATGCAACCGCAGGCTCCTCACCCAACTCTCCCACGTTGGTGCTCCTCAGCACGGCCCATTGTTCTGGGTTTGACGGGTTATGGTCAAATCAGCTGAGGTGAAACACACAACTTCTGGTCGAAACCTTAAAAATAAAATACCTATTGGACTTGCTTCACCGTGTTTTTTGTAGGATCATATTTGGCCTGGAAAAAGTGCTTCAACTGTATATTTTGCTCAACAGTGACAGTAAAACAGCATCAGTGTCCAAGTCAGTTTGTAGCAGAAAACGTTTAAATGCAGCCAACTTACTGTACATGCTAAAATTAATTATTACTAAACATTCTAATTATATTGCTCCAATTAGTCTGTCAGCTTTTGCTTACAAAATTACCTGTTTCAGGTGAGACATTTAAAAAGTGACACATCTTCTGAAACTTAAATGAAAAAAAATGTTTAAATGTTTTAGTACACTTATAAGACGTCCCACTGAGGCAATAAGCAAAGCAAAACATATATGCTTGCAATTAGTGGGAATAGGTCAACACAGGTTATCCAACATAACTGGTGCTGCAATTTTTGGGCACTTGAAAAACAGCTCACCCTTTAGGCCCATGTCCAGCTCCCTGTATCACACCTGCTCAAAATTGTTGCAATATATGTTTATGGTTTAATCATCCAATATACAAAAATAATGAAATTAACAATAAATAAAACATTTCAAGAGGCTTTAAACGCTGTAGTTTTGAGCTGTTCATTAGAGCATAGCAATGTTTATTATCTTGTATATTTAATTTTCACACAAAAAAAACCTTGCCTTTGCCTTTATTTTGAAAACAGTCACGTTTCCGGTAGTATGCTGCCAACTCCTGTGAGCTTGACTCAGTGTGTTGGAAGATGCTGAGGGACGGGAGTGCCCCACTCACATTCACATTACATTTACGCACAACAGCGGATCTCCCAGGAAGGACAAATTAACTGGACACGGTGGATGGAGACATATTTGTGATATAAAAACCAGCCCGGATTTATCTGTTCACTTATTGGGGAAAACTATGAGTCTTTTAAACGAGGGATATTATTTTTTTACTTTTGGGTGCATCTAAACCGGCCATTCATTAATTTATAAAGGAGCTGCACGCACCCTTCTGGTTTTATATAAACCCGCCCTCTCCCCGGCTTTTTCTCTGAGTCCCGAGGTGAGGATGGATACCCGGCTATCTTTCTGCAGGTACCCGCTGCTGGTGCTGCTCTGTGCGGTCTGTGCACTGTCGGGGACCCGGAGCCCCGTGGCTGCTGCGGGGAGGAGCTGCGCCGACACCCGGCAGGTGTACGCAGAGAAGGGGTACAGCACTGGCACCGCTCCGCTGACTCAAATCTCCGGTAAGACGCTTCATCTATAGCCTGCGGGTGGAGATAAATTAATTACACAACTAAGACATCTTTTGGGGACTCACGCAGAAGAGTCTCATCTTCATCTGTTAAGAAGCATGTGCCTAATTCAAGTTTATACTATAATTTAAGATACATGTCTCAGCAGAAATGTATGTGGGTCAGCATGCTCTAGTTTGTCTCAACAGTAATAACATACCATTATGCACATTAAGGTCAATATAAACTCGCTGCTTACCACCACACATTATTTATTATGGCAACATTATTAATAGCCTGTTATAAACCCCTTTAAATAACAAACACACTACAAGTGACGACAGAAAAGTCATACCTAAAAGTACAAGGTTGCACAAAACTCACTAATAACCACCAGAGACACAATGCAGGAATATCATGTTGAGTTTTCCTCAAGAGAAATTATACAGGGTGGTTTAAAACAAATTACACCCGCCCCCTCCTCCCCTCTGTGCAGTTTAAATAGGATGATTAAGGGGATGAGCAAATTGCCAACACTGGAGCAACAAAGAACCTCGCCCCTAATTAGTCTTTGCCTACTGGCCCACTGTTAAATCCCCGCATATACCCATAGGCCCTGTTCACTGTTGATAATCTTATCTGTTTAATGAAAACATCACATGGATTACAAACGGTTGGATTTTGGATAATTTGAAGTTTTGGTGTGAGAGAAGAGAGAGAAGGGGAGAGGGGTCAGTAGGTGGACATTTGTTTAAATGTGGATGTCTGACCAAGTCTGGGAAAAAATGTTGGAGCACATGAGTGTCTGAAGATGTAGTCTACTTCTTGGAGGTTCAGCTTTGCATTTAAATCAGCGAGAGAATGACTGTGTAAGTGTGTGTGTGTGTGTGTGTTACCCACAATTTAGGAGTGAAATTTATGTTTGTGAAATTGCAGATCTCAAGTGTGAGGATTTATTTTGTGGCAATTTAGCTCTGTGTGTGAGTCACTGAGACAACTGCAATATTGATTGATTGATCGTGTGTGTGTGTGCGTTGGGCTATCACTGCCTGAGTCTTGGCTCACTGTCCCGTGGGCCAGGGGAGCAGATGGCCGGGAGAGCGAAGGATGAAGAGAGGCAGTTTAGAAATGGAAATAGAGGGATGAGAGAGGGCTAATAGTGAGACACACAGAGAGAACAAAAGAGGCAGAGGGGAACATCAGCGAGGGTGGAGTTTGGAGAGTTTCGACTGTATTAACAGCAGCAATATTCATGCTCGATGTAAAATCATAGAAACAAAGAATTCAAACCTTTTCCCCATTCACAGTGCCGTGTTTTATCTTCCTCCCCTGGTTGTCGTTTGCATATCATTACCTCTGACATATCAAAGACCCAACCTGAGCTGACAAAGAAAGACAGATTGAAGTTGAATAATTCATGTCGGGAAGTTACAATTTTCTATCACACCCTTATCTTTGATACGATTTCCCCACAGTAACTGAACAGACTGATAAGTGGAGTAATGGACTTTCTCACTAAAAACACCTGCTTTGACCTGATAAAAGACCTACTGATGTTATTGAGAACAAGCCTTGGTTTTTGTTGAGGATGTTATGATTAAATCAAAATAATGATTTCTCCAAAGAAGTTACAAAAACACGCATGATCGATCCTATCCGCTTTCTCTTCTGGCCTGGTTTGACTTTGTCCTCCAGGTGAGCACCTGCGGCTCTGTCCTCAGGACTACACCTGCTGCTCCAGTCAGATGGAGGAGACGCTGGCCCTCCAGAGCGAGAGAGACTTCCTCAAAGCCGTCGAGGAGAACAGCCAGTTCCTTTTGACTACCTTCACGCAGAGACACCGCAGGTTTGATGGTGAGAGACGGATGCATTATTATGATTATGCTTAATGGGTTGAAATTGATTGAAAAAAAAATCCTTCTTCTTGAAGCCACAATGGGTAAATTTTAAGGGGAAAAAAAAGGGACACGGCCTCTCCTTGTCTCACCCTCCTTATCTACCGAGTTAGTGCCGATGAGTGACAGCTGATTAAAAACGTATTTATGATCTCCGACTGCACAGTTCCTCTCAGATCGTCGGATTTATGAGTTTCAAAATTGACTTTGGAAGCTAAAAACACTGCAATACATGCATATTGCAGAGATCCTAACATGCTTCTTATTTATGTTTAATCAACACACAAAAAAGGCTGAATTTCAAGAAGTACTCCAACAAGTTTTGTATTGCACTTTCATAAAATTGGGGGACTCACAAGAGACAGATAATATAAATAATGGTCACAATTGTGGCTGCAGAGGTCGAGATATCCTGATATTTAGTCTCTAGTTTTGGTTAAACTCCAGAAACACTGGAGTTCCTTTTGCCATAAAGCAACTCGATAGTGTCACAAATGTAACTCTTTTTAAAACGGCACACCTCCAGTTTGTAACTCAGACTTTCTGTTATCAACCTGTAGTCACCAAGCATAGCTGAGTTACCTAATGACATCACTATGGCATCCTCAGAGTTATTTTGTCAGACCTTCGAGGGACAGAAGACATTTTACAATCACGGACTTACCACGGCCAGTAAACTGAACTTCATGTATGAAATCGGTGGAATGTCCCTTTCAACAAATGGTCACTGTGGGGAAACTTACCCAGACAGCTTAAGTGACTGCATTTCAGAGAATTCAGCCCACGTTGTCTCAAATTTTGTATGTATGGCTGCAGGTTTGCAGCATCAATAGCAGAGAGCTGAATTAACACTTTCTCCTCCCAGCTGGTGTGGACTGCTATCACCTTTTTTGCCCCCCTCCTCATCCTTTTACATAATGTACGTGATGAATCATTTAAAGATCCTGAAGGAGTGGGAGACTGCATATGAGTCCTAAATAGAGTACACGTTGTTACACTCATTTACCAGCATGCAGGTTCTGATGTAACTGTCCCTATGAGCTGTTAATGTTGGAGCGGAGGGGGTGTCTGAGTGCCTACGTACAGTACATAGAAACCTATCTAAGATACTACAAGAGAATAAAATGGGTGACAAATTCATATCTAATCTCTGCTTTTCCTGTCTGTGTGTCTGCAGAGTTCTTCAGAGAGCTTATAGACTTGTCAGAGAAGTCTATGAACCAGATGTTTACCAAGACCTACGGCCGTCTCTTCACCCAGAATGCACACGTCTTCCAGGAGCTGTTTGTGGAGCTGCGCAGATATTATTCTGGTTAGTTTCATCACTTTATTCATCCCACTTTAATCTTATGTATTCAGATAGTCAATGGTCCTTGTAAAGCGCTACCAGTACCTTACTGACACCTGATTACCTTATTTGCATGCCCCCTTTCTTCTCTCATCCCATGTTTCCTGTCCATCTTTACTCTCAATCTCAAAAGTAATGTAAACCTAAATTACTGGACGATTTTGTTAGCGAAAAGATCAGCATCTGGTTTGACAACAACCAAATTTCAGGCGACAATATGGGCCTCCATCACCTCCACGAGGAATGAATCATTGCACATACGTGTTTAAAAACACTATGTTTGGTTGGTCTGGTTAAAGTTGGTAAGTATGGTAAAGTAGCTGTGATGATTCTTGTTGCAGTGGGAGTCTAGTGTCGTCTTATCAGTCCACATCCCTGTTGTGGTAAATCCACAGCCGCTCTGGGCAGCAGCAAAGAGGCAGTATTGTCTTTTGAGGAGAATTAAAATGCCGATAAGAATTGGAGAAAAAAAATAGAGAGAGAATTGGAATCCCACGGATGACTGTTTCTATTTCTGTTCCGGATCGCTCTATTTCGGCATTGCAGCCACTCGCTAGCGAGTCTGTCTGCAGGCTGTTGCTGCTTAGTGAACCTGTCTTTGTCTGCCAAGCAACATGTATGGCTAATTTGAGGCTGTATTGTAGACTACAGATTGGAGAGTTGCATTCTCAGAATCTGTCCGCCAATTGATTAATGCACAAAGAGACTGACAAGGATTTAAAGGAAGACGTGAAAAAAATAGTGAACGCAACATATTGTGCTAAGGTTGTGTTTAATAGACCATATAGATATTAATGGTGCAAAAGACATTGTTTTGTGGAAGTCAATTCTTCGCTTTTATATAGTCGGTTAAAAAAACGTGCCAATATATTTGTACTTTATTTGATTACAGTATCCTGTGTACCCCATGATTTCACCTAAAAGAGTAGTGCACAAGGTACAATCATTTTATACTGATAAACAGAGAGTTCGTTCACCCTTATGTCAGTCAAAAGTTGCAGGAATGGTGGTGGGACTACTTCATGTGGCTAGACCCCATAGTTAACTATATCTCAGCCTTTTCCAAAACTGTCAAAATTAACTTCAATCAAGTTATTTATTTTACAGAGAAGCGGTTGTTGGCAACACAAATCTTAGATCTCAGGCTCCCTCCAACAATACTCATTTAAATATGTATGAACAGCGGTCGAGCAGGAGGCGCTGCATGCTAAAGTACTAGGGACTAACTCACAGTGTGTTTGCTGGGTTTACGAGCATCAGGTGACATGGCACTTGGGGTGAACTATTCCTTTAACATAATAATATTAGTAATATGAGCATCATAGGAGCATGCTGTATAAGGATATGGTTCTAGTAACATGCTCTTTCTTTAATGAATCCCAACAGGAACACCGTTTTTGACAGATTACAGATACTGTATGCTGACAGTTGCACTTGTGTCCACAGGGGGCAGTGTCAGTCTGTCAGAGGTTCTCTCAGACTTCTGGTCCAGACTGGTGGAGCGAGTCTTCTCTCTGGTTAACCCCCAGTATCAGTTTAGTGAGGACTACCTGGAGTGTGTCAGCAAACACGCCGAACAACTGCAGCCCTTTGGGGAAGTGCCCCGCAGACTGCGTGTACAAGTATGTGTCTTGTGATGAAAGACGCTAAGATGCCTTTGATACAACATAATTTACAGTTATGATTGATTATGATCAATTGAATAACATTGTTGTGCTCTCTTCCCGTTTAAATTCAGGTGTCAAGGGCTTTCATTGCAGCCAGAGCTCTATCTCAGGGCTTGGCTACTGGTCGGGATATTGTCAACAAAGCAACAAAGGTGAATTGTCCCTTAACTGTTGTCTATTCCTCTTTTAAAACTGCATCGGCAAGATTTGAATGTATAGAATAGAACGCTTTATAGCCTAAATCTAAAAGTGAGGGCCTTTATAATGATATGTATCATTATTTCTATGAAACAACTCAAAACAAAGTTGGAGTGAGCTTCACAATCATGTAACATAAAAGACTGTAGATTCACCTTATTTGGTCAAAGTTATAAAGGTGGTTAATAGAAGACTGTACATTTAAAAAAAAAAAAGAAAAATGCCCAAGGTGATATATTCAGACTGCTTGTTGTATCTGACCAACAATCCAAATATCATATTTGACAAAGAAAAGCATAAAATCCTCACATTTGAGAAGTTGGAGTCATGAAATATTTGGCATTTTTGGTTAAGAAATATGTATTATTTGATTATCAAAATGGTTGTTGATAAATATTTTGTTTATTAATAAATCAACAAATCATTTTAGCTCTACATTTGTCAGTCTTGTCCCTATTAGTATCAACCAATTACAGAATCGGTTAATAAACTAAGAAAGTGCTTGTTTTTCACGCTTTAAAGGTCAGAGCACTACAACACTGTAGTCGTTTAAAGTTACAGGTTCTCAATATGATATTCAGAGCAGAGGGGTTGCCTCCAGACACGTGCATCTGCCCCAGCTACGTAAATAAAGCAGAGAAGCTTACAACACACACACAGAGGGAGAGCGACTTCATTCTCTTCTCAGGACGCCATTACTCCACTGTAGACCATTTCAACGGAATCACATTGCTCTGCAACAGCTTGGGTCCATGTTTACTTCCTGCAAGTTTATGTCATTCACATACAGTGCAACAGGAAATAATCTGGGACACATTTGGGATGTTTATGTGTTCAACTGTGAAATGGTCAATATCTTTACATCGCAAATATATAGTTGTTTGCTGAAATATTAATGCTCTGAGTATGAAGAACCTTTTAATAATGTTATTCTTCTTGACCTACCTCTTCGACCCACTGCTTTGTGTTTCAGTTGACTGCTGATTCAGAGTGTGTGCGTGGCCTGATGCGTCAGTGGTACTGCCCACTGTGTCGAGGCGTGCCCTCCCTGCGGCCCTGCCACTCCCTGTGCCTTAACGTGATGAAAGGCTGCTTAGCCAATCAGGGCGACCTGGACACAGAATGGAACAATTTCATTGGTGGGTGAGAGTATAGGCGAACAATATGTCCTAGTTGTTGTGCTAGTGCTGTTGTTGGTTAAGTGGGGTTAGGGTCAGGTGCATGACACATTGAAACACTCGTATTACAAAGAGCCAAAGAGGCCTTTGGTTTATAGATCCTAAGGAAAAAATCTCATGGCCCAAATGACAGCCAATAACAGCCTTTTTGAATATTATCATTATTAAATTGAGCATACCTAAAAGTACAGTAATTGTATTGCCCTCATTTTCCTTTCACTTCCTTTTCCCCTAAATAATTCCTCCTTCATTAATCATTCATGCTTCTCTGCTCCTTCACAATTGATCTGTCTTCCTACGTTTCCTTTCCCCTTTCATCAAACCCATATGTTCCTTCCTTTTTTTCCTTTTCATGTGCAGTGCTTCCTCTTACCTTTCATCGCTCAATCCATGTGTACTACATCCAAACCCATTTTACCCTCATGTACCCTTTTTATCCAACCATTATTCTTCACACTTTTCTTCATGTGATGTTCTCTTGCTTTCTAATCTTCCAGTTCTGTAAGCTCATACACAGATGTCAATCAAATCTTTTTAGCTGCTTAGCCAGTGAGAGATTCCAGTCACAGGAAACCATTGTCACCAACAGTTTTTTCTCTGCGTGCAACACCAGACAATGAGAACTTGGAAGAGTGTAGTCATAGCAAATGTTATCACCCTTCTGTATTTCCCTCTGTCCTGTTTCAGATGCTCTGTACCAGGTTTCAGAGAAGTTGGAGGGGCCGTTCAACATGGAGCTTGCAGCCGACTCCATCTCTGTGAAAGTGTCAGAGGCCATCATGCACATGCAGGAAAACAGCGTCAGCATCTCCACTAAGGCAAGGAAGATGGCACAATCAGATGCTGGGGAAATAAAGATTGATGCATCTTTATTTTTTTCCCAGGAATTTGCAGACTAGCTATTCTTCTAGTACTTATTGTACCTTTTGTGAGTGTACAAAGATCATCTACCGTCTTTAACAAAGCCTTCTTACAAATCAAAACTATAATCCTGATTGTTGTTTAATTCTAATCTTAATGAGACAGCATGCAAAGCAAGAAAATGACAAGAATTATACACAGAGAGCATGACAGCCTCACAGTTTGATTAAAACATGGCAGACGTCCCAGCAGCTAATCCACTAGAGAGACACCCACATCTCGTTAGAACCAGGAAAGCTCCTGGTATGTGATGCCAGCCCTTTAAGGAACAGGGAGCTCTTTCCTTTTCAGCTCAGCTTTGAGTGTTTGCTGCCTTTCACTAACAGTGTGATTGTGGAGGTTATGGACCACCGTTTCAACAATCTTATATTGCAAGTTTCCAGTTCAGTTACAACACTCGTGCATACTTAGAAGCTGCTTTTTTTGCAAGGTTATGATTTGCCAGCACTAACATTCAGGTCAGTTAACAACAGCCCAGAACATTGCATTTTTGGGCTGTTTTTGCTGTTTGGTGGTGTCAGAGAGAGCACACTTAAAATGCTTTCACCCACAAAAAGAGCGACTTCTTTGTAGACACGTTCTTGGGGTGTTGCTAAAGGCCATTAAGAGAAATGGTAATATGTATTATCTTTATACCTTTCTTAGAGATTTTGACTGTAAAGCCATGACAGGAAATTAAGAAAGAAAGGGGGTCGGGGAATGAATCGGAGACATTGCAGTTGTACATGGAAGGCTGCTTGACCCCCAAATTATTGTTTACGAGGCAGTTTAAAGTAGAGTGAGTGTAATAATAAAGTTAAGTTACAACATTTTATCACAAACTGTGTTCTGGAGATGAAAGAATATCTGTGCAAGAATATTCAGGGGTGGACATATCCTGCAAGTATCACATAGTAGTGGAAAAGCTATCATGAAAGTTATGGTATATTGAAATTATAGAAACCATCGTTGCACAGCTATTTACACTAGTTTGGCTTTGTTGTTGTTTACCCCAGGTGTTCCAGGGTTGTGGAAGCCCCAGGCCAGCACCAGGACGGTCCAAACGTTCACCCAAAGAGTCAGGGGGCAACAGGAGGCCTTTCCGCACCTACAGCCCTGAGGAGAAACCCACCACTGCTGCAGGCACCAACCTGGACCGACTGGTAAAGAAGAAACATAGCCTGTGTAAACGGGGTGACATAGCTACACATCCATTCATATTTTGAAATAGTTCAAGAAGTTAAATATAAGAGTTGTGAGAGTGAACCAAAACATTTAAGTTGGGAAATAGAAAAAACAAAATGATGAGCTGGAATATATAAAGCTGTAGTAAACTGCTGTCGGGTGATAACTATCCGTGGGTTCATCTCTACGAGCAACTCTTTCTACATTACACACAGTAATTTGCCCCATTGTTTGTATGAAAATAACTGATAAGTTAAGCTTTGAGTACTCAAAAATGTTGTTTTGTGAAGGGTCATATTCTTGGGTTGAGTGTGATTTTGATTTTGAAACCAATAAAGAATGTCAAATGTTTGCACTGTGCATGAGTCAGGATTCAGACATAGACATCTCTATACAAAAAGCAAATAGAGGATGAGCAACAGTAATAAGTCTAGGCTTGTACAGGAAACTAATAATACAAAGTGCAGCAGTCAGAACCCAGACAGGACTCCTGTGACCACAGAGTGGTATTGAAAGATAGAAGACCAAGAAAATAAATGAATTGACACCAAGAGCAGAAGAGGGAGAAGGTGGATGGTAGGCATTCATATCTATTTTTCTTTTTACATAAAAGACATGTGGTTTAACAACTGACCCAGAAGAAAGGTCATGTCAGTTTTTGACCGTGGCCAACGTCAGCACTGAAGCTCAATATGCTTCCTCCAGCCAGCCATACCAAACAAGGATACTTTAAAAGCAGGTCTGAGTCATAACCGATTTCTTTCCGCCTCCGCGCAGGTTACCGAGCTAAAGGAGCGACTGCGGCCCATGCGAGGCTTCTGGGTGTCCCTCCCACACACCATCTGCAACGATGAGAAGATGGCCTCCGACGTCACTAATGAGGACCGATGCTGGAACGGGCAGACCCGTGGGAGGTGAGAGGGATCAGAGGGGATGGTGGTGTTGGGTAGAGGTGGAGGGCAACTGAGTGACGGTGCAGAGGTGGAAGGATGGAACAGATGGAACTGAGTTTATTTAGTTTTGCCACTACCAGTCACCCATATGCTCTCTGCGTGGGTCTGCCTTCTTTTATGCACACAAGAGAAAGCCCAACACCATATATCTGGACTGATGTAGAGGCACTGTGCAGGCGTGTGTGCGTGTTGTGAGAGGAAAAACAAATCTGCATAATGGATGATTTTTTTTGTCTATGATGTTTCAGCTGCATTATGCAGCAGTTTTATGTCAAAGTAAACCCACCTTAGCAGCTTTAATGACAAAGTGTGACTGCAAAAATGTGTTGGTATATAGTGTTGTACTACTATAATTATCTTGGCCAAAATGATACATGTCATGCACATTGCAATTATTCAATGCTAAAGTGGGATAGTTGAATTAATGGTGTCTTATTAATTCATTATTAGCAGTTGTTTTTATGATACAACATTGGTAAACATGTATTTGGGGCATTCCAATATGTAGTTGTATGGTGCCTGTTCTGTAGATATAGTAAAAATATAGATATATTAGTATATAATAGATATATTATATACTAACGTTTAGTGGCTAACTCACTGCTTTGCACTGTTTTCATATAGCGGTTAAAGCTGATAATGCCGTCCAGACCGACTGCGTTGTCACAGATGCATAGCATCCACCCTCTGGTTCCCCCACAGGTCACAAGTCTACAAGGTTCATTTATTGTCATTGTGCAATAGGGTTGCACATCGAAATGCAGTTTGTTGTCCCACTTTGCTACATAAGAAAAACAAACAAAACAAAAAAATGCTCATTAAAATGAAATGTTATTATATGTGGAGGGTGGAGGATGAGTTGAGGAGTCTCACAGCCAGAAGAAAAAAGCTGCTCTGAAGTCTGGTGATACTTCTGTATCTCTTGCCAGATGGCAGCAGGGTGAACAGGCTGTGGCGGGTTTTATCTTTTAAAATACTTCGAGCTTTTCGCAGGCTACCAATGAATTTCTGGGCGGTTTAATTGTGCACGCCCCATGCCAGTTAGTAATGTTTGCAGTCAGGATGCTTTCCACTACTCCTCTGTAAAAGTTAACAAGAACCATGCACAGGAATTTTGCCTGACATTTCCTTAAGAAATAGAGCCGTTTATGAGCTTTCTTCACTAGTTTGGAGATGTGTGATGACCATATCAGGTTGTTTGTGATTCCGATTCCCAGGAATTTAAAACTGGTAACTTGTTACACCTCAGCTCTATTGATGTAGACAATAGTGTGTGTCTTTACCCTTTCTAAAATTAACAACCAGCTCCTTGGTTTTACTGACGTTGAGCAGTAAGTTGTTCTCCGATCACCTCTCTACAAGGTTGTTGATTTCCTCTTGGTATGAAGTCTCATTGTTGACTGTAATCTGGCCGATGAAGGTAGTGTCATCTGCAAACTTCACAACAGAGTTCTCTTCACGTTTCGGGTAACAGTCGTGAACAGAAGGGGCTGAGCACACAGCCCTGGGGGGCTCCGGTGTTCAACGCCAGAGTGGAGGAGGTGTGGTTGCCTGTCTGGACTGCCTAGGGTCGGTTTGTGTGTCTAATAACCATTAGACAGAGTGATCAGTTTCAAGGGGGACATTGTGTTGAAGGCTGAGCTGAAATCAAACATTCTGATGTAGGTGTTGTTATTTTCAAGATGTGCGAGTGCTGAGTGGAGAGCAGTGGAGACGGCGTCCTCTGTGGATCTGTTGGCTTTGTATGAAAACTGGTGAGAGTCCAGCCTGTCATGGATGATTTTGACATGCTGTAGAACCAGGTAGTTTTACTGCTAATAGCTAACACCATTAGCTATGAGCCGCCGGATCAGGCATCGCCATGTTGAGATGGAATTGAAATGCTTCCAATCTCGTTTTATGCAAATTTTTAAAAACAAGATGTTGCAACTCTACTTCTTTGTTCTCTGGACTGAGGGCAGAGTTGACACTAAAGTGACGCACTATAGCCTCTCGAGGAAGAAGTGGTATTACAAGAAAGTATGGGCCCTATTGCGACAACAACCTATGCAGCCAATGCACAAGTGCCTTAAACCTGCATTATTTCTAATAGCCAGCAAGGGGCGACTCCTCTGGTTGCAAAAATAAGTCATATTGTATAGAAGTCAATGGGAAAATTACCTTACTTCTGTGGTGGAAAATTTCTAGGTTAATCGGGAGGAGAGAGTTTTTGTTCTCAAATCAATAATGAAGTCATCAGAAGATTCAAAGTTGTCTTTTTCCGTTTGTTCTCTTGCAAGAGGGAAGAAAGCACAGCAACTACGTATTCAGTAGACTGCGTGAATGAGTCTTCGACGAAGTGCAATATTCAACATTATTTATGCATACAAAGGTTCACGCCTTTACAACTTCAGATAATGCGTCAAAAGGGGAGTAAAAGTATTTCAGACACAGGCTGTCTGTTTCTGCGGACATCCACCTCTGGAGTCAAGGCCTCTCTGTGTCTCCATCTTACCAACAAAGAAACAGTGTCTCTTCAATTCTCACCCTTGTGGGAAAAGATAACAAGACAACTGGATACAAAACTAATTAAATCATCTGCAGAAACTGCTGTTCTATGTCTGCTTGTGTTCCACAAATCAGTTTTACATTCTTTAAAATTTCACATGATACTACAACATGTTTCCCATTACACTTCTCACTTGATTATGGTCTTAAATCGCTAGCTTCAATACAGCATGATGTTCATTTAGTAAATTATGGTCCCATTTAGATTAAAAGAGAGACAGAGTGAGTTGCTGGTGAATATAGCGAATCATTGAAGATTATTGTAAAAATACGCAATGTTGATGCTCGTAAATTTTGTTTGAGTTAAACCTCCCTGCTGCTATTTGAAGCCACACTGTGGGAAGTTGCCTAGCACTGATTTGAAAAGCTCTATGCTTGCGTCCATGATGTTTTTGTACATGAATGCCTCTGTGTGTGTGTACAGGTACCTCCCGGATGTTATGGGCGACGGGCTGGTCAGCCAGATCAACAACCCCGAGGTAGATGTCGACATTTCCAGGCCAGATGTGAGGACCAGACAGCTGATCATGGAGCTGAGGGTGGTGACCAACAAACTGAGACACGCTCAGAGTGGACAGGACATGGACTTCATGGACAGTCAGTATAAATACTTTCGTATTGCCCAAAAGGAGTGTTAAATGAAGCATTTAAATTAGTTATTCTCTATATTTTTATGAAATGTTTTATTTCTGTTCCACGAATCAGTGATAATTCTCTTGTTTTCTTGTTCCAGGTGAGGAGGGCAGTGGCTCAGGAGGTGGAGATCAGGGTGAAAGGTACAATGATGATTGGCCCGGCTATGGGCCTTATTCCCCGCCCAACAACAAACCCCCTCGCAACCCCGCTTCCGACCCTGCAAAGCCGCCTCGAGTCCGAGAAAGAAACGGGTCCAAGTGGAACAGAAACAACGGTCAGGGACGGGACAGATCTGCAACCAGCCAGCTCTCTTTCTCCCTGTTTCCTTTGTTGTCATTGCCTTTCATAGTCACTGTTGCCCCCATGTGGAGATAGCTGGTTATTACAGCCTGGAGGTGGATGAGGTTCTCTGAGTCTCAAGCACATTATAAAGAGAAATAAAAAGTCATTCCATTTGGTTACACCAACAGACAAAAGACAAAACCAGGCCAAATTAGCAATAATTAAAAATCAGTTTACAGCACAAAATAAAAAGGCTAACGTGAATATTTTTCCTACTGCCCAAGCCACAAAAGAGGTATTACCAGGCTACAATAATACTTGATACCGCCAATTTTTCAGTGGCATTTGTTTGACCTATTGGAGTATTGATGCTGAATGGTGTGCAGTGCTGGGGCATCGTCTTTGGGGGTGAAGGAGAAACAAAAAGTACAACAGCAAATGAATTGGCAGAATGTTTGGCTGATGAAGCTCATGGTCTTTGGTCTGGTGCTCTGTGAGATGGAGGTTATTTGTGCCGGATAACAACCGTTTAGTTTCAGTGAGCAGCTGATTTGATCCGAGTGAGTTTGTTTGCTGCCATTCTCGTGAAATTAAGTTAATTAATTTAACTGATCTTGATTTCAGTCGGGTGGAGTTTCATTTTTCATCTTGTGGAAGTGATCAGATTTAATTTACTCGCTTAATTAAACCTTCGTATTTTTGCTTGGAGATTAAAAAACGTAATTAGTGTGATTCTTGAAACCAAACGAGGGGCTTTTTTTGAATGTACCTACATTGCTGTTACTTGTGTAGACAAGGGGTTAATTAATGTAATATATTGATTGTTTTTTATTTATTTGTAAAATAATACTTAATTGTTCTTATTTTTAAGGCAAGTGTTCAGTTATTTTATGTTTTAAAATAACTATTTGTCTTTAACTTTCTCTGGTTAAAAAAAAAGGAAACATCAAGCTGTGTTTATTTATACTTTTTGTAAACCAATCATTTAAAAATATTGTTATTGAACCAATCACAACAAAACTCTTAATTATTGGACAATATTGGGGCAAAATACTTGTGTTTTCAGTCTTAACCAGAGATAGTTAGAGAGCAGTCTGTGTGAATGTGTGTTTGTATGATGGTTTTAAATTGTTTGTCGTATGTTTTGGTTTCAAGGTTCTGATGTCATGTTCAGAAGATGTTGGGATGTTTTTTAATTCGGGGCTTTTGTACTTATTTTTCCTAAAAGCAACAAAAGATGATGAAAACAGCGAGAGAGCTCATGAATCAAAATTGGATTGAATGTTGACGAAAGACAAATTTTGTCAAGAACTGAGAGACGATGGCTCTTAATTTTCATACTGGATGTGTTTTGATGAAGATAAAATCACAGAATATTCAAGAAGGAAAAAACAAAACTTGTGATGAGTGGTCATCCGTAGACGGAGAGGAGAGTGAACTAAAATAATTCGTTCTATCATTTTGGGAAATGTGCTTATTTGCCAGTCATGTCTGTACAGTAAAACTGTAGCCAGCAAACGGTTAGCTTAGCATAAAGACTGGAAACGGGGAAACAGCTAGCCTGTTTCTTTCTTTTTGCTTACCAGCACCAAGATCACAAATTAACACTGTGTCACGTTTGTATAATCTTTAAAATAAAAGTGTAAAAAGGGTTATGGGACTATTTCTTGGCTGAGAGCAGTTGCCAAGTAGCCAGCCGATACTCCAGGAAGTTACTGGTCTTAGTTAAGAAATAGTCATGCTATGTAAAATGGACAATTTACTTTTTGTAAATAATATTTTGCTCAAATTAAACCAGATAAGTGTTAATTCCTAAACTTTAGAGGTGCTTCGTTACCTTTAAACCGAGCTAAACAAGCTGTCTCCCCCTTTTTACAGTTTTTAAGCTAAGCTAAGCTAACCAGCTGCTAGCTCCAGCTCCAACTCTTGGCAAGAAAGTAAGTGGGTGTATTTAAGTTAAAGATGATAAAAGTCAATTGATAGGATCTCAAAAAAAGACAGCAGAGATGTGGATGGAGAATATAAAAAGAATGTATAGATGCTGCGAAATGGACACTTTTCTGTTGAATGAGGAATTGTGAAATTCACTTGGTTGTAACATAAGCACACTTCTAGTCAAACGGGCTATTGCACCTGTACAAACAAAAGCAAGAGAAGAGTTTCATTCTTGAATTTTGTGAAAAACATTTGCTTCTTACTTTCAATCACTAGCAATCTAATTGAGTTTTTCAGTTAAATGGAACGAAACCCTTCAATGTAAGTAGGGACCTTATACAAGACTTCACCACAAACACAGTATTATGTTGCACAACTACAAGTGAAACACAGTATTTCAAAAGCAACAGTATTGTAATCATATGTGCTTTTGACGGCAGTCAGATTAGCTGCCAATGCTTCCATTGAATTTCAGGTAAATTGGTAAATTGTTCTTTAGCACAACCTCTCATCCATCCCCACAACTCGCAGTCCTTTATGGTGAAAGTACAGCACAACTTTTTTCATGTTGTAACAGTTTTTTGGTATCAAACGAGTGATATTTTTTGCTTCATTAAAAAATAACTCAAGAAAAGTATATTGATGTGTTTTAGTGTTATTTTATTTTAACAAAAGGTTCTGCATCACAGATGTCCAAACAAATCATGTAATTCTGCACTAGCAGTAAATAGTATTTGAGCATTAATCAAACTCTTAACAGCTTGTGTTCATGGCATGTGTCTCATACCGTTGAGGCTCCTGTGTTTTCCTTTCAGCCTTTGAGGTGAGTGGTCTCTTTGTTCGGATCTCCATCGTGCGAGCGCTTCTTGTTCTGAGTGAGGCAGTTGATGCATCCACGCTGACAAGGACAGGAAATATAAGACAGTCAACACAACATTCACTGTTTTTAGTCAATGCCTTGTGATATTATGCTTGCAGACTGTAAATATTTAACATGGATGCAGAAATCAGAAAATCTTAAGTAAACAATCAGGTAATTTGAAAAGACAACAATCTTTATTACTTTGATACATGCGGTATTATTTTAGCAATTCATTTTCCACAGATAGTTTACCACAGTTCTCAAAAAACAAAAACTATATTATAGAGACAATTTAATATTTGTTACCTTCCACAACAAGAAGCCAAGAACTGCCAAAAGCAGGAGCAATGCAATCACAGTCAGGAAGATTATCCACCAGGCCACCTTGGTGAAATATTCAGCTTTTCTCTCGAGGAACACTGTCAGTTTTATCTGAGGATATATACATTTTAGTGTTTCATCTGTTTGTCCTGTTAGTTACAACAGTGTGATGGTAGTTACTGCATAAGTACGCTGGGAATTTAAACATTTATCTAAGCCCAAACGGTAGAGATGTCTTCCAACAACACCAAACCATTTTAAAACACTTTTGGTTACCTTTGTCCCAAGCTTCTCCGGTTTAAGTCCAATATTCTCTGGAGAGTTTGTCAAACTGAGATTAGCATCCACAACAATGTCCAGGTAGTTCAAAGAGCTGTAATCCTGTGTGGGAGAGGCACAATGAACAATTAATGTTGTTGGACAGGCTGGCAATAAAGAGCCACAAAGTCAGTTTGAATAATTCTTGGAAAAGAGGTCTTAAAGCAACAAAACTGAGGCATTGTCATCACTGTTATCTGTCAGAGATGATGCATTTCAGACATGAGAGGAAGGCATTTTTACAGAAATTAAACACCTCTGTGAAAGTGGTGTTCCACAGTCGGGAATGCAGAACCATCACTGCAGCACTGTCCAAACCCAGCAGAGGGCAGCGTATCTGCACACACTTCAGTCCATCTGAGCAGGACTGAAAGGGAGGACAACACGTCTGAGGCTCACATGGGACAATGGAAGCAAACTAAAGTTTCCTACAGCCTATTCTTTCTTTAGTAATACTTATGATAATAATGATTTCTTACCAAAGTTTTGTATTTCCTTCTTTTTGGAAGAAATGGTAACCCATCAGTAGAGAGCGTTTCATGTTCAGCTTCACGTTCAACTTCACGTCTTTTTCTTGAGGAGTCATGCCAACCCTTGATATCAAACAACATCCGGTTAACTGTTTATTATTACAGATGTTGCTTGTATTTTGAATAGTCAAACAGAAAAAGGTGGAGGTGTTCATTACCTTCCCATGTTGAAGTGGATTCACCTCATCCACAGGTGAGCAGGGGACAGAGTGTACACCTTTACTGCTGATCTGAGTCAAGTACAGGAGCCATTTTCCTGCAGAGTTCTCCTTTGGCCAGTGGATGTTTAGTGATGCATTGGCAAAAGATTTCAGTGGTCTGCCCAAATTTGTTATCTGGTAGACAAATAAGATATTAGAACAGTTTCCTTTGACAAGTTTGTGTGGACAAAAAGCAATTAAATGCATTTTAAAGTCAGTAAGCAAAAAATGGTGGCTCACCCTGAATTCATATTGAACTGGAGTTCCAATTTCATCCACTGATGTTATGGCGCTCTCACTCCTCAAGCTTTCACCAAGTGACACTTGAGAGGGCCTGGCTAGTCTGTTAAACAAAAAATAGACTTCAATGTTATTATCCTTTGATTTTTCAAAGCATTTTATTTACTTTTCAAGTCTGAATTTACTGTGAAATGCTCTTTAAAAAACAAATCACTTTTTATTACAACAAAAAAATGGCATTCTCCACATAAAAATAGCATAAATACAAAAAACCTCTGGGTCATTTATATTTGTGTTTGAATGAGGAAACAGTAATAAAAAACATGAAAACATCAATCTAGTACCTACCCATATACTTGGAGTTCCAGCTCAAAAACCACTTTGGCTAATGCCTCAACTGGTTGTATAGTCTGCATACTTGTCCTGCATCACAGGGATAACACAACATGTTGATTCATAATCATCTAAAGCCCACTGATCAATAACTGATTAAGCTACTTGCGTTTCAAGTTGCAGTGTGACGTTGACGTCTTTTGTACTCAGTGAGATTCCGGATGTTGCAAGTAGGACATAAAAGGTAACCTGAAAGGAACAGGGTTACCGTGATACAGTACATGCAAATGTTACTACACTCAAGAGGAGGATACTGAGCAGTTCTACTCACTTCTGCGTCTCTTTAGAGCGGGTTTCCCAGTTGACAGTCGATTAGTGTTCCTTTGTCATTGGCTGTACAACTCACTTGTGTTTCCTTTGAACAAATGCATGCAGAAAACAAGAACATTTGTCTTTGTTGGAATAAAGAGTATTCTTCTCCTTTATACTTTATTTGATTACTTTAAATACTAGTTACTATGTAGATTGATGAAAATAAGACCCAGCTTGCAGCTTTCTTTTGTTTGGTGTTTTTTTTCTTCAGTTTAATCTAGTTTTATTGAGATTCTATCAGAATTTCTTTCAGCAAATGTTTTGTTGATAAATGAAACGTCTTTGCACTACTTCTGCTTATCGACCTGGTTCTTCAACTTCCCTTTTTAAAGTTTTCCGGTGCCAAACCACCTCATCTTCCCTTTAGTACTTGTATACCTACTGATGCTGTACTGTAGACAATGGAGGAGTAATGAAGGGTCTCCGGGAGGCTGATGACTGAGTGACTCTGGTGTGCGTCATCCCCGTTTCTGTTAGTCACAATGATCTCCAGAGCTATGTCTTCTTCAGAAGGAGTGATGACTGCAACACCATCCTCCCTACATACATGACATAACCCCACACGAGTATGCAGCTTGGGTTTAGAGGGTTAGGATTCAATCACACATATTGCTCTGTGTAGTGGGACCGAAGGTAGTTCCGCAGCTTCGTTTCTGAGTTTGTTTAGTTTACCTGTTTTTTTTCTTACCTGGCGAGTGATTTGAAAACATCTTGATTATTTTGTGTTTTTCTGGAACAGAACTTGTGCTGTAACTCCAGGTTACTTTGGCAGATGTTGTCCGTGCCACAGCCCTTGTTTATTAAGATAATCTGTGAAAAACAAAAGAGCAGAAAGAGCTCCTTTACATTCGTCAACCTTTAAAATTTTAGATTGACTTCCAATATCTTCTTATATCTCTCACATAAATAGACACATTTTTAAAAGTGTCAGTGTTTGTGCTGACAAAGAGGTATACAGACAGATGTAGACATACAATTGTACCTCTGAGACAATGCTTTTTTGCTGGAAGAGGTTGAGGACAGGAGTAATGTCGGGCAGATCTGCACTCGTCCTGGTTGTCTGACTGGAGCTCCACAGAGACACAGTGATGGACACAGGGATACTGTGCAGCCAGTCCTTAATATCACGCTGCAACAGAGGAGGTTTATTTGAGTTTTATGTGTACAGCCTGGCATTTGATAGGTCTCTATATGAAGGGACATTGCACAATGAAACAGTACCAAAAGTCGTAGTTGGATGTCTGTACAGATTTGTCTCTTCTGTCCAGGCAGCTTCAGTTTTCCTTGAGATACACTGAGAAAATCCACTCTGTGAGGAAGCCTCGCTTTTCTCCTCTCAGCATCAGCCCCAAAAGTGTAGTTGAGCACTGTAAGGGGAAACATAAGATTACACCAACATATAATTATGCTGATAAACCCACTGTTATTGCTCACTACGAGCACTTATTATAGTCTGACAAACTACTATCACAAAGGCCACAAAAAGTATTGTTACAATTACCATTAATACCAGTATTACTGCAGCAAACACACAACTTCTTCTATTACAGGAGCTGCTATTACAACTTCAACATCTACTGCCAGTTATACAAATATTAGTGCAAATTACATTTATTTGTTTTTAATTCTAAACTTGAATATTTCTAAAAATAAATACATCATTCCCTTAAGTTTGACATTGAATGTATTTTTAATCAATGATCTAACTTGTAAACTGGCTATAAAAAAGTTCTTGAACTATATCCATCTGTTTTCAAAAGCATATCACAAAGACATAAAATGCCTCAAACCCTTATAATTAGTTTGAAGAATACTTACTCAGTTTAGGGTTGAACGATGCTGGATGTGCCGTGTAGGTAAAGCATGCCTGAGCTGCAAAATAACTTTACACAAGTTCGTTCAAAGACACATAGGATCAAAGGCCATTAAGGTTTCAGTTGGATCATGTTGACATTTGTGTTTTTGTACATCTTACCATGTGCGTTCATCACATTGTTCCTTTGTGATGTCTATTTCAGCGGGCGTTACCTTCAGAGAGCTGCTGACACTGACCACTGGCCTTGATCTAAAACAGAGAATGACAGGTTGATATAACTTAATTTGAGATAGGTTATGATGAAACATAACAGTTGTGAGAAACATGAAACACTGAGCTTTTTTTTTTGTTATGTTTTGGCCCTGATGCCATTTCTATTTATTAATATGGCCCTTCTAACAGTGTCTCCATAGTGCAATCCAAGATGGCCTTATACAAAAATAGATATGTGAAAAATATTAAAAACACAACATGAAGAGGAAAAGATGTTGAAAACAAATTGACATAAGACACAAGCAAAGAAAAAAGGATGAAATGAGTCTATTAAATTGATCCGTAAATCTCTTCTGGGATATGTTTTATCTGAACAGTTTAATGTCAAGTCAAAC